CAAATCCAAAGCCACTCCCCACCTCCCAACCTCTGCTGTTCCTTTGGCCTCATCAGAACAGTCCCTGATGCTTTTTCAAAGAGCCATCCCTACAGGCACATGGTTGGATTGCCAGGATAGCAAAGGGGGAGGGGGGCAAGCTCTTCAGGAGTAGGGACCACCTCCCATATCGTCTCTGGGAGCTCGGGGCTCAAGACCAGTTATGTACAACCTCTGAGTGAATGAGTGAAGTGAACAATGAATGAAGGGCAGAGCTGAAATGCTGCCCCTGGATCCTCCAGCCCAGGGGCTGTCGAGGAGGCTGACGACTGATCAAGACCACAGCTCCACCCCTTGGCTGTAGGCCCTGGGGAATTGACCTCTCTGCACCGGTTTCCACATCTAGAAAACAGGTAACACCTACAGCCTGGTCGTTAGGATTTAATTAAATAACGTGTGAAAAGTGCCCAGCATGGGGCCTGACACATAAGAGGCCCTGAAAAACAACAGTAGCTCCTTTTTCCTTCCTCCTAGAAAGGATTTATGTCTCAGAGTTGTTTGACAGAGTGCAGCAAATAAATCAGAAATGAGAAACACAGACCTCCAAAGTCTTCCCCAGCTGCTAAACCGCACACTGACCCCTAGCCTCGTTTTCATCTCCCATGAACCCAAGAGGATTCACTCCCAACTGAAACACTCAGTGTGTAGCTCAGTGAGTCTGGGTATTTTCATAAAGAAAAGAAAATCAGGTTTAGATTCCGTCCCTGGCCTTTCCAGATTAACTGCTGGGGGATGTAGTTCTTCCCCTTTGTACTAGGACTGCAGAGTCTGCAAACACACTCAACTACTGTGAAGATAGGGAACTTCCCTGGTGGCTCAAATAGTAAAGTATCTGCCTGCAATGCAATGGGTTCAATCCTTGGGTCGGGAAACTCCCCTGGAGAAGGGAATGGCAAACCACTCCAGTGTTCTTGTCTGGAGAGCTCCATGGACAGAAGAGCCTGGCGGCTACAGTCCACAGGATTGCACTCACCCACTGGATGTTTCCTGGTCAATCAGATGCTCAGAAACACCAAACCCACACTCAGGTACAGATCACTCTCTCAAGATACTCATTCTAGTCCTGGTGAGTAGAACTTGGAGCAGTTTTCTTTCACTTCCATGTGGTGAGTAGTTCCGAGGACCTGATGTCATAAATGAATTTACAATGAACAGGAGCGACTCATTTTCCTGAATCGTAACTGAAATGAAGCTGTCCTAAGTCTTGTTCTATTCACAGTGTCATCTGACTCAGCAGTAAGTCCCTGCTGATGCCAAGTGACTTCAAAGGCCTGGTCTCTGAGGAGCCCCATGTGTGATGCAAGTTCTTCTGCTCCTGCCCTATATAGTCTTGGGCTTCCTGGTGGCTCAGATAGTAAAGAATCTGCCTGCAATGCAGGAGACCCGGATTTGATCTTCAGACTGGGAAGATCCCTGAAGGAGGGAATGAACCCACTCCGGTATTCTGGCCTGGAGAATTCCATGGACAGAGGAGCCCAGCAGGTTACAGTCCATGGAGTCACAAAGAATCAGACACGACTCAACAACTAACACTTTCACTCATACCTATAGTCTGAAGGATAGGGGTTACAAGCAAGGGAATCCATTCAAGTGACCATCTTCAGAGACTAAGAGTTCTTAGAAAATCATTTTCTCCTTCTCTAAAAGTTGGTAAGTAAATTAGAATAACAACACAGAACATATGTTGAATAGATCACCATACTTGCCAACTGAAACACTCCAGGGATATGTTTATTCATTTTATGTAATCTGGAAGCAAATCTTTTTTATCCAAGTAAAATTTTACTTTTGCCTACTGATGCTTCACAATACAGTGCCAAACTAGTACAGGAAGATAAAGAAAATGCTGGTGATGTGATACATCTTGACAGCCTCGTGACATCCTAGTGCAGAGGGAGAACAAAGAACGCACTATGGGCATGAGGGTATACGAGAATTCCAATCACTCAACAAAGAGGTACTCAGGCACCAACTGAAGCTGGGCTTGCAGTAGACGCAGGTATAAAACACCTGGCAGACCTGGCTTTTGTGGAGTTTGTGATCTACTGGGGGACTCCATTAAGCAAACAGCACAGGGCAATAAAATCCATGACAGAGAAGAGAGGGGGCTACAAGAGGACAGGGTGGCCTTCAGCAGAAGGGTTATCTCAAGGAAAAAGACAAGGAGGAATTACGAACAAAAACCAGGTGGGGGAGGAGCAATGTAGACGCGAGAACAGCTACAAAAGCTACAGAAGCGAGAGAACACAGCAGGTCCAGGGTTTTAAAGAGAAGTGACATGGTAAGATGAGCAGTCTGGAAAGATCACTCAGAGGCAGGACTGCTGGGAGACGGCGCAACTAAGGAAGTGCCTGCTGCTGCGTGAAGGATGGAGAGACCCAAATAACATCAAGGAATGTGCAGTGGGCACGTTCTTGGTCCAAGCACTGAGATAGTAAGTACTTCATGAACCTTCTCATTAGATCATTACAACAATCCTGAGGAGGAACCTCTACAGATGAGACAACTGCTGGTATTTTCTTTTCTCCTTTCCCCAATTTTCCCCCAAATCTAAAATGTGTTTGTTGCCTTCGCTGCTGCTTAAAACAGTACAAGGCACAGAAGATATGCAAGGCATAGAGGATAAGACAGGTGGCTGAATGAAGCAATAAAGCAATCTCACCCACGAGCACCCTGCGTGGAGGACCCCACGCCCACTGCACTTACCACACTAGGTTGCAGCTGTCAGTCTCTGCTGGTCCTTCTCAGTCCCGTATCCTCGTCCCTCCGCTCACCAACCTCCAGACTGTCCCGAGCTCAGACCAGGGCTCTCTTCTGTCTTATCTACACGCATATCACTGCATCTAGTCCTATGGTTTTAAATACCATCAATTGGCTGATGACGCTCAGATTTTTATCTCCATCAGAGACTTTCCCCCCATGAACTCTAGACCCTCTTTTTAAGGTGGGGGGCAGGGATGGGGGTGGAGGACGTAGTGCAGCCTGTGGGATCACAGTTCACCAGCTAGGATCAAAGCCCTAGTTCACCGACTAGGGCTCACAGCAGTGAAAGCTGGATCACAGGGAATTCCCTCCAGACCCTTTCTCCAACCACTTACTCAACATCTCCGCTTGGCTGCCTAACACTCACCTCAAACTTACTTTGTCCGAGAGTCAGCTCCTTTACTCAGTCAAATGGCAACTGTACTGTTCCAGTTGCTCAAGTCAGAGGTCAAAACCTTGGTATTGTTCTTGACTTGTCCCTCTCAAACCTTTATCTGCTCCATCAGCAACTCTGATTAACACTTACCTTCAAAATATATCCAGAATTCAACTCGTCACAGCCTCTACTGCTGCCACCGCGCTCTGGCCGCTTTCACTTCGCCCAAATTACTGTAAGGCTTCTCAGTGGTCTCCCCAGCTCCCTCCCTGCCTTTCTGATTCTCAACTGCCACGTTTCCGGCCGGCGCCTCCACTGTTCACTCCGGTGCTGGCTCCTGTCTCGGGCGCGACGTCCTCACCCTGGCCTGGGAGACCCCGGAGGGCCGGCTGCACCTCCTACTGTGCTCCCCTGTCTTCTCTGGCCACAGTGGCCCCCTTGCCAGTGCTGGAGCAGACAAGCCACCCCAATGTCAAGCCTTCATACTTGCTGTACCCTCACTTGGGGGCACTCTCCAGACACCCGCCTGACTCACTACCTCACCTTTCAGGTCTCAAGTGCCACCCTCTGAATGAGCAGCCCCCAAAACTGCAACCCTCCTTCTCCCTACTCACACACAAGCTAATCACTAAATTTGACTGACTTTTTGTCTGCCTCTCCTGACCCCCAACTGCAGGAGGGCAAGGACTCTACTTGGCTCACTGTTATTTCCCCAAAAGTAACAAAAATACCAGGCACAGGGCAGATCTCAACAAATATATACTGAATGAAAGAAGGAGTGAATGAATTATCTTCTTACAGGGTCTTCTCCATGCTGGCCACACTGGACATCAGAGACAAACCGAGGAGACAGAAAATTTCTATAGAACTGCATTACACATAACCCGATAAAGCACCTTAGAAGCTGACGGCTTTAATTTGAAGAATCTTCCGTATGTGTTTTCTGATCAAAAAAGAACAAGCAAGGAGTCTGAAACAATCTGAAAATGCTTTCCAAAAATAGTTTAGGAATTTTATTATTATAAAATTTTTAATTCATGTATTAAAAATGTATACCAAGGCAAAAAAATCGTGTAAGCGTATCACAAATACAAAACAGTTTTCAAAACAAACAAAACACATCCAATGTAAAAAAAAAAAAACTTACACATACAAAATGCAATGTATTTCCAATTAAAAAATAATAATAATAAAGCAAGGAGAAATGTTTGAAAAATGCTCGTCCAAAAGTAAAAAACAAAACCCTCCCCTTGACTGGCCACTTAAGCTGCCTTGAAAGGCTTTTCCTCTTCCCTCATGTTACCTGGTCTTTCTTCTTTTCTTTTTATTTGTAAGATAAGGGCCAATCAAGGCATTTTTAAAGGCTTATCTGTTGCTATACTTTTATAGTCAAGAGACTTAATTCCAAAAGTTAAAACTTATACAATGAATGTATGACAAAAACTACTGCAATGATGTAAAGTAATTAGCCTCCAACTAATAAAAATAAACGGAAAAAAAAANCTTAATTCCAAAAGTTAAAACTTATACAATGAATGTATGACAAAAACTACTGCAATGATGTAAAGTAATTAGCCTCCAACTAATAAAAATAAACGGAAAAAAAAAAACCAAAAAACTTATACAATGAGCTATAAACACAGAGTTCCTTAACACTGTATGCAAATCAAATTATGATTTCGGTACTCTGCACAGAACATGCCACTACAGAAATTTCTTTTTATGAAATTGAGATTTTCACATCACATTTGCTTAAGTCACAGTAAGTCCATAAATCAGTTCCTCAACCCACCATAAAAAAACAAACAAAAAAAAACAAATCTTCTAATCAAAGTATTTTATTCACTCTACTTATGGTTCCCTCAAATGCTAAATAGGAATATCTAATCTAAAATACATCTGGAGTGGTCTATTCCCCCTACCCACCCCACATCTACTAATATGCACCAACAACAGAAACTGGCTCAATGCTTGCCTACTATTAAAGCTAATGTTCACTTGATTTAGTTCTTCTTGCAACAACAAAAAGTTTTGAATTTTGGTTGTCTTTTTATGTAAGAACCACATCTATTACTAACACTTAACAATATATGTCAGGGAAAATGTTTGGATTTAAGTTGCAAATAAAATTCCTAATCAGGAGGTCAAAAAAGCTAGTTACTGATATTGATATGCTTTTCCCTGTCAAAAACTATCTTTTCTAATTTCTTTTTTTAATTAACTTTGGAGGGAGAGAAAGGAGGAGGAAGAGAAGGGAAGGAAAACAGACTGGCTGGGAGGTTAAAGGTGACATCTTCCAGTCACAGTGACTCTTCCAGTATGGTGTAGAAAACCAGAGATTCTCTTGAAATTCACTAAGAAAACAGCACTGGCAATGCCGTTCATCTAAAAGTAAATGGAATTTGGAAGAAAAAAAAAATTTTTTTTTTTTTTTTACTATTTTCTATATCTTAGAAAAAGTCTGTTGTTAAAACTTATGATTAAAATTAGCTCCTCATCAATTATTCCAATTTACTAACATTTAAATGTGAAGCAATTACTTTTAAGAAAAGAGAGAAAGTGAGGATTAAGAAAGGTTAAGTTCAGTCAAGTAGGAAGTCTGGTACGTAAAAAACCAGAGAGAGCAGGAGTGCCCAATCCAGAGACTGACAGACTCCAGGTCCAGCCTGGGGCTGCCACAAGCTAAGGAAAAAAGGTAGACCGACAAAATCTACTCTCTCCAACACACATAACATTTGCTTCACAGAGAGAACTTTTGAAATCTAAGACTCACTTATCAAGTGAATTAAAGAAAATTTTGCAAACTGTGCACATAGACACAATATTTTGAAAGTAAATTTTAAGGGGTGCAAATAGGCTCTGAGATTATATTTGAGAGAATTATATACCTCCTTGGGGTGTGGTTCAGAAAGCAGGCTACCACCACCCTGAGGCACGGCCTGCACCAATGATAGTATTAAAATATATATATTTCCTTCCAATTATTCTCATTAATTATGTCAACCAATTTTAATGCAGCAAGGGAGAATTTTACCAATGGTATAACTAGGTACACATTCACATTTTCATTTGCATCTTAAGGACAAACTATTAAAAAATAACGGTGATTATGAAAAACAAGATGAAAGGTGTGTTCATTTGGGGAAAGTTACATTAATATTATTCATCCAACCACAAACACTTTTGTAATTAATGCAATACTACAAAACAATTCACAGCTTTATAAAAGTTAAAGTACAGAGTTTCATTAGGATTTTTTTTCCAATTCAAAATTAAAAGAGGTCAACTTACATCACCACTTAACTATTTTATTCTAAAATCTTTAAAATATATAAAATACCAAGATTATCAACAGTCACATATGTTTTGAAGTCAGGGGACACATGTATTTTCTTAAGATTGGTTCCGTTTGTGTAGAAGGTCTGCAAGGATTCCCCAGTGACAACATTCCACCACTGTGCAGAGAAAAATAAAATTCTTATTAGGCTGGTAATTAGAGTGAGACAATCTGCAGTGCCAACAGGATCCTTCGCCCCCACCCCTCCTACTCCCAAATTTAAGCTAATACCAGGAAAGATGTCTATAGATAGTTTAATGCTGAATACAGTATCATCAACCCAGTCCGCCTTTCATGATTAGCCCTGGTGAGTGCCTCACAGCGACCCCACACCTAACCCCCTGTAAGGCAAAATAGAGAAACACACAGCCTACTCAAAACTGCAGATACAGGCTACCTAGAGCCCATTACAGCCATGGCTGAACTGAATTCTGTCTGCATGTCATCCTCAGTAGAATGGCGAGAACAATCCTCTGTCCTATGTAGTCAAGTAGTCTTGACTACTCATAATATGAGCTGCAGATAGAATAGGTTCTCTCTACTGAATCCTCCTTTCACCAGGAGTGATTCAAGAGCCCATGACCAAGTTTTTTATTTGGGCTTCCCTAGCGGCTCAGCGGTAAAGAATCACTGCCAAGGCAAAAGACACAGGTTTGATCCCTGATATAGTAAGACTCCCCCAATGCCTCGGAGCAACGAAGCCACAACTCTTGAGCCTGTGCTCTAGAGCACAGAAGCCACAACTACTGAGCCCACATGTCATAGAGCTGGTGTTCCGCAACAAGAGAAACCACTGCAATGAGAAGCCCATGCACTGCAGCTAGAGAACAGGCCCTGCTCACCACAACTAGAGAAAATCCTGTGCAACAATGAAGACCTAGCACAGCCAAAAATAAAATAAATAAATAATATTTATTTATAAATAAAATAATTTAAAATTATAAAATAAAAAATTTAAAAAAATTTGTTTTAAAAAGTCTATACATGTATTTGCCAAATAAATACTGAACATTCAAATGTAGGAGGTACCTGGACCAAGTCCTTCCTTTCTACTCCCAATTGTTGAATTGGCTAAGATTATAATAATATTTATATTCTATTACCAAAAAGAGATCATGGTGCTTACCTATATATCTCACAGTTGAGGGCAAGAGACCATGTGCATGAACACCTTTTGAAAAGGCCTCAAGATTCTGAGAATTTAAATGCAATGGTCACTTCTGTATCTGTGGCAATGCCCAGCATTCTGCCTTGCTCGTGTGACTGGATCAACTATTCATGTTCAGTATTGGTCATGCTAACTGGTAAAAGTATATAAAATAAAAAATTTAAAAAAATTTGTTTTAAAAAGTCTATACATGTATTTGCCAAATAAATACTGAACATTCAAATGTAGGAGGTACCTGGACCAAGTCCTTCCTTTCTACTCCCAATTGTTGAATTGGCTAAGATTATAATAATATTTATATTCTATTACCAAAAAGAGATCATGATGCTTACCTATATATCTCACAGTTGAGGGCAAGAGACCATGTGCATGAACACCTTTTGAAAAGGCCTCAAGATTCTGAGAATTTAAATGCAATGGTCACTTCTGTATCTGTGGCAATGCCCAGCATTCTGCCTTGCTCGTGTGACTGGATCAACTATTCATGTTCAGTATTGGTCATGCTAACTGGTAAAAGTGTGGACTTAAGTAAAGCAACATGCACTAACTTGAAATTTTCCAGAACTAACAATTTTGCACTATAAAACAGCAGTGTAATCAAGACTGCGGAGGACAGCCACTAAAGGCAAATCATAGAGATCAGCTAGTCCAACTGCCTCACTTTACAAGTAAGGAAACCAGGGTTGAGAGAGAAGAAAGGCCTTATCACTGTGGATGACACTGCTCACAGGTGGCAGAAGTGGAACAGATATCTGGTTTCCCAACCTTGTGCACCCGTACCGATCCCAGGATTAAACCTCTCTGCTTGGAAACACTACCCCACAGTCATTAATGTGACCATGGATGAAAAGACAATATTAAACAGGACTCTTTTTTTGGCCATACCACACAGCATGCAGGACCCATAGTTCCCTGACCAGTGATTGAAGCTATGCCCCTCTGCAGTGGAAGCACGGAGTCTTAACCACTTAAACAGGACTTACACAGGGGACTTCTAGGCCGGTGAAACTGCTCAGCATAATGCTGCAATGGTGGACACACCATTATACATTCATCAAAATTCACAGAATGTACAATACCAAGAGTGAATCCTAATAGAAACTATGGACTTTGGTGATAACGAACATTCATCATTTGTAGCAAATGTACCCTCTGGCGGAGGATGTTGATAGTGGGGAGGCTTGTATGTGGAGGCAGTGGGGTGTATGAGAACTCTATACTTTTCAATCAATTTTGCTGTGAAACTAAATTTGCTCTAGGAAATTAATTTTCTTTAGAAATAGCAGGTAGAGGAAAGGATACATTGGGAATTGGGACTAAAAGGTACAAACTACTATATATAAAATAGATAAGCAACAAGGACCTACTGTTAGAGCACAGAGAACTATATTCAATATCTATATTATAAATATATATATAACTGAATCATTTTGCTGCACAACTGAAACACTAAATCAACTATACTTCGCTTTTTTAAAAACGGAAAAAGACAGCTACCACTTTTACTCAGGGCACACTGTGCCACCACGTGTACATACTTCACCTCTATTAACTCCTTAACCCTCCCAACCCTATGAGGCAGGTATTATTATTATACCGACTTTACAGATGGGAAATCATCTATGCAAGATCACAAAGCTAACGAGTGGCAGAGCAAGGCTCTGAATTCAAGCAGAGCTCCCCAAGGCTCATTCTCCTGAACTTTATACTCTGTTGCCTCTAAGTAATGGCAAACCTGTACTTATCACCATGTATTTAATATTTCAAATCAGCCTTTCTCCTCATGAGTATAACTTTCTGTGGATTTCCTGCCTTTCTAACAGGATGTACTCTGTGGTATAACACAACTAAATGACATTATTTTTAACTTATAAATAGGAATAATTTTAAAAGTTAAGAGCTTTTTAGCTACTGGATACACACTTTATCTTACTGACATTCAATTTATATAGCTTGGGTTATAAAAGGCCTATTTTCTTGGATACTAGCAGCTATTCCTTTTTACTTTCAATTTGCTTTGTGCTTTTAGATAGTCTCATTAACATGCTGGGTAGATGTAGGCTGGGTTGTATCACAGGACTGTATCACAATCAGTTTAACCATGCTGGTAACCAAACCAGAAGAAAGAATAGCCTGACTTTGTCACTGAAATATACAGACTGAATACATAGGCTGTAGGTTCTTTCACGCTCAAGACATAACTCTACAGATGCTGATTCGCTGTTTATCTTAAGACTGAATACATAGGCTGTAGGTTCTTTCACGCTCAAGACATAACTCTACAGACGCTGATTCGCTGTTTATCTTGTGCTTCTCTAGGAATGCTGGCTATCTAGTCACTGATCTCTATTCTATCTTGTAAGCCAGACTCACAATTCTGTGATAGTCTTCTATGGGGCCCAGAGCATCAAAAGACAGGGTCTCTAGAAGCTCAATGTCAAAGCTGAGCAGTTAAATTTTTCAGCAGTTAATACAGCTGAAGACTCCCAGCTTCCAACACAAAAACAGCAATGCTCCTCCACTAAGAATTATCCTCGGAGCAGTTTATCTCTACACTCAAGGAGGACAGAGGCTGACAGTATGGCAATCCCCCAGTAACTAACTAAAGGTGTGCCTTTCTTTGCTGTGGCCGTTTGGTCGGTGAGTCACGTCTGTGACCCCACGGGCCTTTGTTTAGGCACAGGCTAATGAAACACCTTGTGAACTACAGTGTACTTTCAGTGTGAACTTGCAAAATGGATCACAACACACATCCTCTCATAGAGCTAAAAACTGCCCTCTGACTTCTCTTTTTTACAAGCTAGAGTATTCATTAAATAAAACTGCATTTATATAGGTGCCATGTATCCAAAAACTTTAATTCAGTCATTCAAATATTTCTGAACATCTATACTGAGCTAATGTTCAAATTACACCACAACTGCACTCATTTCACATGGTAGCAAATGCTCAAAATTCTCCAAGCGAAGTTTCATCAGTACATGAACCGAGAAATTCCAGATGTTCAAGCTGAATTTAGAAAAGGCAGAGGAACCAGAGATCAAATGGCCAACATCCGCTGGATCATTAAAAAAAAGCAAGTGAATTCCAGAAAAACATCTATTTCTGTTTCATTGACTACACTAAAGCCTTTGACTGCATGGATCACAACAAACTGTGGAAAATTCTTAAAGAGATGGGAATACCAGACCACCTTACCTGTCTCCTGAAAAATCAATATACAGGTCAAGAAGCAACAGTTAGAACCAGACATGGAACAATGGACTGGTTCCAAATTAGGCAAGGAGTATGTCAAGGCTGTATGTTTTCACCCTGATTATTTAACTGATAAACAGAATACATCATGCAAAATGCCAAACTGGATGAAGCACAAGCTGGAATCAAGACTGCTGGGAGAAATATCAATAACCTCAGATATACAGATGACACCACCCTATGGCAGAAAGTGAAGAAGAACTAAAGAGCCTCTTGATGAAAGTGAAAGAGGAGAGTGAAAAA